ACATCTTCTGTATGGATCAGGGAAATTCCCCTCCCTCCAAACCAATTCTCTTCCTGGGACTAAGTGGATCAGTGTTGAAAGTTCAAAAGAAAGCTAGAGTCATTATTAAAAAAAAAAGGAACTTCATGATAATGTGGGTGGTGGTATACTGCCTGGAGGGGTCCTGGGTAAGAATTTAGTGAAATCACCACCTGTGTTGCTTCTGCAAAGGTAAATAAGAATTATTCTCACTCAAGAATTCAGTCATTTTGGCTGTATTTTAAGCTTTCTATACTGATTTTCCCCCTCCCCTCAAAGTGAATTTATAAACCACTGCTTTGGTGGTCCAGTGAAAAGGGATTCCAGTGATTTCAGTTCCTTTTTGGATGACCCTCAAGTGCAGCTTTGGACCAAAGCAAACTTGAAATGGCTTGAGGACTCACTGAGGAGCCAGCCTTGCTCTTCCTCTTGTGTTGTCTGACCACCAGTGCTGGGTTGAAAGCACTGAGCCTCACTGAGGCAAAGTGGCCTCGTAAAACCTACTGTTGTTAAGCCTGGTACCCACTGTTGCTGCGACACCCTCCCCGCCCTGAGTTATGTTTTATTCCCACCTTTCTCAGCAGGGAACTCCTCTACTACTTCCACCAGTCTAGTCCTCACCCCCCACAGAACCCCTCTGGCCCTCAGGAGGGAGTATCTAGTCCTCACCCCCCACAGAACCGGAGGGAGGCAGTTACCCCCAAAACCATCTGATAGCCAACTGTCAGTGCACTCCTCGTGTGACAGTGCAGATGCCTTGGAGGCATTTCTGCTTAAAAAAATAAGAAAAAAGAGGTATTTTGTAGCAGGATATTTTCAGTAAAGGCTCCCAATTCTGGCACTGTATGCAATCTTTATCTAGGTAGACCACGAGGCTGAATTTGGGATTTTGTTCTTTAAAGCTGTGAGCCCCTTTGCTGTCTTTGGGCCAGTTTTACAATTAATATTTAGCAAAGCATGTAGTTACTGCTATGCGCTTCAGTCTTGGCTAGCTGAACTGTATTTAGCAGTGTCTGTAAAATAAAATTCTCACAGCTGAAACTCACTGAGATATTCATGTGTATACATGAATTTAGGAACCAGCGAGGTTTGGTTTGAATAGTCACTGTTGAGCAATGCTGGAAAACAGCCAAGATAGAGGCATCCAACACTGATGTCTTTACATTCAAAGCCATATCAGAAAATGATCTATTGTCTCACCTCCACTGACTGTAAAAACGAGAATGGTGATGTTTGCCCTTGGCAACTAGTGTTTTGTATATTAATTTATATTTATAAAGCACTTCAGTGAGGTAAGTTACTCTTAATTCAGGACACTATTTGACCATGAAGATGCAAATACACCTAACCCTGTATTTTTACACCTAGCAAGAAGTTGGAGTCGAGGAATCATTTCTTTCTAAAACACCTTAACTTGCTTTCATCAGCCAACACTGTAACGCACAAGTGTCAGTAGCAAGCTGTGTTGAGATTCCGTTTGTCATTTCATTTTGATCTGCACAAGAATATGTTTTTAATGTCTTGTGCTTTCTTTCTAGATAAAACACTCCACCAATGTGTATCATAATTCCTCCTGTAGCATTTTTCAATAAAACCCGGTTTCTGTCTGAAGAAAAGTGTGATGTTTTGTTCTTTTGCCTTTTGTCTCCCCAGTGCATAGTTTGGGACTGGGATTCTAACGGAAAGCATGACTTCATTGGAGAATTTAGCTCGACTTTCAAGGAAATGCGAGGAGCTATGGAAGGAAGACAGGTAAGTGGAACCACCCAAGCAATCTCAATATGTAAACTTTGTAGGGCAGTGTTCCTCAGCCAATCCTGAGCAATAGAACAAGTGACAGCGCCTCACCATCTCCCAGAAGTCGGTTGCTGTGTTGCTCTCTCCCATAGGTTTTACTGTTATCTGGACATGATAACCTGAAAATGCAAAAAGCAGCCTTGTCTTTTTCTAGTTCACATTCTGCAATAATTTCTTTCTGCTAAGATTTATTTCCTTTGAGCCCACGCATAAGGTTTCTATGAGGTGCTGTGCTGTTATGGCAAAGCAGGTGCAGAATCTGGCTACTCACAGCATTTCCCTTCTCGCCTAAAAGCCTTTATTGGGTGATGGCCATTCCTTATCTTTCTCCATTTCTCCTGTGCTGCATTCATTGCTGCCAGCTCTAACTTGAACCCATCGTGAGGAAACTAATCTATTTCCTAAATATCTCATGAATTACAGTCCTAAGGGAAAATGAAATTGTTAGTTTATTAATAATTTCCCTTCTTTATGTCAGCCTGATCTTTTCAAATTGAAGTTGATGGTAATTATTGAATATGATAAATGACTTGGCATATCTAGCTCTAGAAATTGTAATTTCCTATTATTACTTACTTCTGAAGCTGTTTATTTTGAGAAATTCTCTGAGGGGTTGTTAAAAATGTTGTTTCTAATCTGATGATAATTTGTATTCACTGCTTCATGCTAATCTCAAAACCAAACACAAATGCCTAATAAGCTTTATTTGGCTTTATATTAAGTTTCTGTTTATAACGTGTTAATAGAAAGCTAACAGGAAGTCTTTAATTAGTTGTAAGCAGTTAGGCTATTCCATAGGTGAAGAAGTTCTTATGAGTATTCTAGTTATTTTCTACTGATGTTCTTAGAGCAACCCAGAGTTTAGCAAATGTTGCCCACATGTGATAAACGCTGTTAATACATATCAGTCATATGTTAACCCATTGTAAATAACTTCTGAACAGAACCTGAGTGTAACCCTGTTTTGTTCTCTTAAATTAAGTCAAAGGATCAAAGTTTAACCAAACAATTTGAGTGGAAATAAAACCTTAAGAGGCAAACAGATTCCAGAGTGAATAACATTAACAAGGCTTGTGATGTGACAACTCTCCAGTTCTGTATACAAACACCTGTGGCTGGGAAAGGCACAGTGTGAGAAAAACCTGTGTATTTCCAATGTAAATATCTTCAAAAAAGCATCACAGTACTGTGCAAACAGACAGTTTGTTGACCAAGGCAAGAGACTTGCAGTCCAGGGTGCCAGGAATGGCTGTGAAGGATAAACTATATGTTCTTAATTGTGATGGAGAAACAGTGTGCTCTTTTCATCCACAGCTGCCAAAAAGGATGGTTACTCTTTCAGAGACATAAGAAGTTAGTACAGCCATTTGTCAATTCTTGTTCTGGGTTGACACTGCAGCATCAGAGTGCTGTCCAGGAATGTTTTAATACTGTACAATGCTTTAACTGCCTGAACCTTTGTCTTGCTACCGGCCTGCCATTTGGCGGCCTGCCTCTCACCTGCATCACTGCGATCTGCTTTTCACTGCAGAAGTGCAGCTTTCCTCCTCCATGCGCCCAAGGCACTGTGGCATTATCACATCTTTGTTGCTCTCATTCTGTTGTTACTGTGTGGTTATTCTGTGGGCTTGCACCTGCAAAACCTGATGCTGTTGGTACAGCCAGTTGTCTGTATTGCTACCACGGTTGAGAATCAGTCCTTCTCCCCCCTACTCTTCTCTAATTCTTCTTTTGTAGTCCATTCTAGAGCACCGAGATTTAGTGGGTGAGATAGTAGGCAATAGTCATTTCAGTGGCAAATAAGTATTGCCCAAAAAATAAACATGCACATTCTAGACAGCTATTGCACCTGATGAAAGCAGGCTTCAGTGAGCACTAATGGCATGGTGGGCAAGAACACGCAGTAGGGAGTTTGAACAGATCCTGATGAAAATGGTAGAGTTATTATGGAAAAAATAGTGTGATCACATTTTGTACGGGAGAGGTCAATTGTGTGGGAGACCATGTCACTTGGCTGGAGCCAGAGAGCAATTTCCCTTTCACTTTCTCTCTCTCTCCTTCCCACTTTCCCTCCCTCCCTTCCTCCCTCATCTTATCTCCTTTTTCTATATTCTCCAGGAATAACTATCGCTGCTAAAGGCAATATATGCCATTAGCTGTGGACCCCATAAATACATCTTAGTACATATTTTATGTCAACACCCTTTGTGCAACATTAAGGAATATGATTAGCATTTGTCAGTTTCTTCTTTATTTGTATTCTTCCCAAAGAAAAACATGTTCAATTGAGTGTTTACTTTGAATAAAGGGAGTTTAGTAAACCTTGAGGGAATAGCAGGGGAGGAGGAAGGTGCTTTGCCTCCATGTGGATGCATTGCTAGGTATTTCTGAGAAGGAAGGCCACATCAGAGAAATATAATTATACGTGGGTGAGGAGATGAGTAGGTTGGACATAGTCCTTTGTTCTTAGAAGACCCTTTTTCATAGCCTCAGACCAGAAAATGTTCTGTTTTCCATGTAGTACTTCTTTCAGTCAGAGGAATAAAACTGCCAGCTACATCCTTCAGCCCATGCCTTTAAGGATTCTTTCACATAGCATTACAACAGTGAGCATCGAAGGTGAGGACCAAAATCTGGTATTTCTTCGCAGATGCTGTGGAAGCCAGTGTAAAGAGCAGAACTCAGGTCTGACATTCCTGTTTGAATTGCTAAGGAGACACAGTGAAACTTCTTAACGCTGGTTATACATTTTGTGCAGTAGACTTTATGGCCAGCTACAGTACTTTGCTACTGTTCTGTCAAAAGATAATCAAAACACCCTAGTGATTGTCAACCATGGTTTTTCACTCTCCCAAGCATCTGGAGAGAGAATAGGAAGGAACATTCATCATTGACAGGGGATCCAGGAACTCTCCGTAAGCACCAGCTGCACATCTGTGCAGTGTTAAAGGAGCTGCACCAATGGCACAACTGTCCCTCTCTGCCTATCTGCAACGTCTGTATGAGTTGGCATCAGCTCCACAAGTTGTCATAAATGTATTAAGCAGTAAGAGTAGGAGTAACATAGTTTGTGCTGGGGAGTAGGAAGAACTGTGTGTCATCTGTGAAGTGCTACTGCTTATCATTTCATCAGCTCACCTCATCTCTGGAGGAGTTTACAGATATCGTGAAGTTGCCTTTTAATTGTACATAGTTCACCCTCCAGAAAGCACAGAGTATTCTGACCCATTCTTCAACCTCCCCTATCAACTGCTACAAAACCACTTGAGATGGTCAGATGGATATGTCTCACCTACTTACTTACAGGACGTGATGGTGCTTCTAAGACTTTCAATTCCACCCCTGGGCTGTGTACTTATTATCCCAAGTTTTGAGTGTCAGTCTCACTTAAATGGCTTGCCTCGAGTATGAGATTTCTTGGGAATGTGGGTTTGAGACGAGGCATCATTTAGATAAATGTTGTGAATCTAGCACTGGCAGCTTGCTAGTGGTTCAACCAGCAGTGTGTGAAGGAAGGAGAGAAGATTCCTTATCTGAATGACTGATCATCTGTTTTGATTAGGAGCAGCGTAAGTAGCTTATGAATTTCTTTCTCTGAGGAATTGCTGGATGGAGTTTTACATTCAGAAATTCTCCACAAAGTCGTTTAAATTTTGGGGTATAAAAGAAACACCAAAGCAGTATAGTCTGGGATTTCATTACCAACATTTGCAAGAGTACTTAAATTAAGAGGAAATGGTTAAAACCAGGTTGCTTTCTGTTTCAGATCCCCTGTGTTGTTTGACAGGGCAAGAGTTTGCATAGCCCAGAGCTGCCAGGCATTTGGAGGAAATGCTAAATGACTTTCAGAATGATGAATCCAAACTTCACAATGTTTACCGTCAGTGTCAGATTGCAGATTCTTGCATTAGTTTCCTCTCAACTGAAAAGTTAATTTAAGAGACACAAATGAATCGATAAAAAAGAATGTCAGATACCAAATCAATACTGGGAATGTAGGAACAGACTGAAAATTGAGGTTGGCCTCACAGTGCAAGCAAAATATTTAAAAGTTGTTTCTCATTATTACTTACCTGCATAGAGCTGTGTTCTGAACTCTGTTCCCTTTAGAAGAGCTGGAGATATGGCAAGGCCTGTGTAGGGCATTTCCTTCAAATTATGCTTGTCACATCTTCAGCTTGAACTGTGGGAATTGCCAAGGTCAGGACTGGATCTTGGTGGGTAAGTGAAGATTAAGAGTTTTACATAAAACAGTCTTCTTAGTTTTTCAAGCCTATGAATCGGGAAATGTCTTCTTCCTTGTCTTCTCTCCTATTCCCTTCCTTTCTTTATATTATCACATCAACAGATTTAATAGGTGCAGAATTGTTCTTTCTTTCTGTTTTCCTGCTTTCTAGGAATTTGCAAGTCTGTTTTTTCCTTTTGCTTCATTATCCATCAGCCAATGGTAATGTTAGTGACTTGCACATGGAATATTTTAATGAGCTTTAGGCAGTTGCTGAGAATTGTTACCAGTAGATCTCAAAATGCATTGCAAAGGTAGGTGAATATTCCTAGTTGCATTTTACAATTAGCACGGGCTGGCCACAGGCAGAGATTTTTCTCCAACATGGTGTTTTTATGCCACTTCAGCCCTTATATAGAGTAAACTTCTTCCAGAAACCAATTACAAGAACATAATGTTCATCATTAAATAATCCTTTTCCACCCAAGAAGAGGAATTATGTGCATAGTGTAAGGGTTCATATAGTAGAGGCCTTGTTTAAATATGCACATTGAAAAGTGTTTGTGTTGGAGGACCATAAAATGAAGGAAGTGCACCTTGGATGTTCAGGGGAAAGCACTGAGGTCTCTCCAGCGTAGTTCAGTGTCTAAGGTAGAAACATGAATCCTGACTTCTGGTTTTTTTCTCTATTTGATATATTACAGTTTCTTTATAATACACAGACAGCACAGTTTCCCTGTAGGAATGTTTCCAGTAGATTTGGAGGCAACTGTATGCTAAACCATTTTGCCAGACAGCGATGTGAGTGGGCAGTGCTTTTGCCTCACTGTCAGATTGCTTTCCTAATTACGGGCTTATTGCACTGTGGTGTTGTGTCACAGAGCGCTCTTCACGTGGAGAGAAGGACTTTTGTTTCTTAAGCCTGACTGCTTCTCTTGAGCAGAGAAAAAAATGTTTATGGAGGATTTCCCCTGAACATGTGGGCCCGTGTCTGCCTGTCTTCTCAGTTGGAAAATTCATTTCACAAGACAAATAATTGAGCTGTAGGCTAACTGGGAGAGCAAGCAGATGTGCTTCCTGCAGTCGGAACATTTTTTTGTCTTTTCCCATTCTTTATTCTCACCTATCTGCAGTAAGAGAGTGAGGAAAATACTCCTCCTCCCCTGTGCAGAAAAGCTCCAAAGCCATATGTTTTGCTTTCCCTTCTTTTGACATTTGACAAAAGCTCTGAGTTTGAAATACTTCAGAGACATCCAAATAATTGCTGTTAGGCAATGGTTTGAAGCTCAATGAAATCACTGGGGCTGTTCAGAAGGTAAAAATAGCTTATGTGATCAAACATTTTGCTCAGACAGATCCTATATAAACGCGTTCACTATAGGCAAAGTATTGTAGCACTTAGGAAGGTCTTCACTATAGGTAAAATATTGTAACACTTGAGAGACGTTTCAATTCAAAATGTCATAATAGGTCATCCTGGTTCTCTTTGGAGATATAATCTTTATGTTACTCAACAACACATGTTTTCTCCCAGCACTAGAAAACACCTCCCTGAAAGAAAATAGTGATGTTCTTAACCATATTTCATAACACATTATAGATACAAATCTGGGTTTACAAATGCCAATAGATACTTGCACGTACAAACATACATTTTACTCCTGCAGTAAGAAGCCTTAGTAATAGTGTAGACATTAGAGGTCAGGGTCTGAAATCTTGGCCTTATCAATCTGCCTGAAACCGGAGAAGGGCAGAATGTTTGAAGTGGAAATCAGTAAGATTCTCGGAGATGTTATGATGGGAGCAAGACAGTGTATTTCAGTAACAAGGTAGAACTATTTTGCTGTAAAATTAACTATTTCTAATTAAAACTAATCAGAAATTTTTCATAAAAGGTTTTAATATATTCTTAGGGATAATTTTCAAATATATCAGTAATCAGTTAACTGCATCTTTATGCACTTTTTAGCTATTTTCTTAACTTTTCATTTCACTGTCATTGGACTTAAAGGAGAAACTGTTGCTGTCTTTCAAGAGAGGGTGAGATGATCTCTGATCAGAATTTCTCCAATCATGAGTTTAATACAAAACACCAACATTACTGTGTTAGACAGTTTTGTAGCTAATACAATGCATCAGGTTGCTCCCTCCTGTATTTTCATTTGTATTAAATTCCCTCATTTTTCTCCTCTTAAATGACGTCAGTTGTTCTTCAGTCTTGCTGATGAACCTGAACCTACAGGACTGGAAGATGATAACACACGAATCAGGATCTCTGTCTTAGTGCTCTGTCCACATATATACGTTTGAAGACAGATGTTTGCCCTGGACCTTTTTCTATTAGGATCGCTCTCTGCATAGTTAATGGTTTTCACTTTTTCCTCTGTGTGCACCATTGTTTGATAGGACTTAGTCACCTGTAGAAATCAGACAGTGCCATTTTTGTTAATTATTCAGTTTGTACATAGATTTTCCTTCAAGCCGTGACTGCTGTTTTTCGCAGGTCCAATGGGAATGCATCAACCCCAAGTACAAAGCAAAGAAGAAGAATTACAAGAACTCAGGCATCGTCATCCTTAACCAGTGCAAGGTAAATACATGTTTTGCTCTTTGGCTGTTTCTGTACTGAGCTCACAACGATGTATTTTAATGTATTTTGGAAACATAGGCAACAAAGTGGAACTGCCTGTAGAATAACAGCGGAAACTGATCCACTGCAAACAGTAAAGACAAGGACTTGAATCCCAAAAGTAAGCTGACTGTCCCCAACTCTCCTCTTTCATTGCCCTGTACCTGCTGTTCTGCAATGGAGTAGGCAGTACTAAACTCTTACACTTACAGGCTTGCCAGTTGGCCTTTTAATCCGTCACTTCTACAAAATCGGTCTTGTTCCTCCTAAAACAATAGTAAAATTTCCACTGACTTCCCACTGAGAATGAGCAGGGCTTAATTCTACTTCTTATGTGAATTTTCCTTTCTGCATTCTTAGAATTTTGATATTTTCTCTGGTTTACATTTTTGTTTCTATCTCAAACTATATGTACTGCTTTCTTCCTTTACCTTATTTCAGTTGGTCCCTTCCCTTCTTCCAGTTTACTTTTTTCAGGCAGTTCTCTGATGTTTTAGCCGTAAACAACTAATTTGAATGTCTTGCTTTCTTGTCTGCAGATCCACAAGATGCATTCTTTCTTAGATTATATCATGGGAGGCTGCCAAATACAGTTTACAGTAAGTGTCTTACTTCTCTAACTTGTTTGAAAGACAGGGAATCCCCTTAGATACTGATTCATTACTTTCACAGAGAAAGGATTCTTACGTGCCATTGCTTGGTAAATTATTAAGGTCTTCTTGCAAAATGTATTAAGCCTGGAAAATAAAACTATGCTAATGCAGTAAGATTTTTTTTTTTGCATGTGCTGATTTATGTTTTGCAGCAATGACAGGCAAGTTGAAAAAAGTAAAGACAACTTCATTCAGGGTGAGAAGCTATGCTGGTTTAGCCCCACCATTCCACCTGAGTTACACCCACTCTCAAAAGCTGGAGAACTGAATTAGCCCTGTGACAGTGCTGCCTGGCCTCAGTTTGTTGGCAAGAATTTAAAATAGATTCCCTTGCTGGGACTGTGTCACGTGGGGGGATTTCATCTCACCTACCTTTAGCTACTGAAATATTAGCTGTCCTGTTGATCAATCCTATGGGCCAGTCTTCCTTTCCAGAATGAGTTCTCCATTAAGGCAAGTTGTTTCCCCTCTAATGGTGCCCTACAGAAAGTCACAGGCAGAGAAGCAGTCCAGCCAGTCACCTCTCTCTCTCAGTGTGGGGTAAATGCTGATGTTTCGTACCTCAGCCATAACTACCAACAGTGAGAAGGCACTACAGGGGGACACAGCTGTAATTTAGGGTAATTCAGAAGCTATTCAGCTCAAGGAATGAGGGATAAATGATTTGTGGAGCTCTCCATAAACAGAAATACAATATTTTACATTTCCTAAGAATCATTTTTAGAAACATTTAATGCTGTGTAGTTTTGATTTTTTTAATTATTATTTTGAATCTGGAAAATAAAAATAAAATAAAATATCAGTATTTCCCATAGCATAGGAGTACAGATTATGAATCATAGAATCACAGACTGGTTTGGGTTGGAAGGGACCTTAAAGACCATCCATTTCCAACCCCCCTGCCATGGGCAGGGACACCTTCCACTAGGCCAGGTTGCCCAGTTCCAGTCTGGTTTATGTGACTTCTAATTTCATGCCAGTTACAGGGGTAAAATCTAATGTTCCAAGGTAATGTTCTTCTTCTGGACATGTTTTGTTTTCCTGTAGCCCCCTGCCCTGTTTCTGCTCGCAGGTATCAAGTATCAGACTTTGGATGCTACTGAAATGTTCCATTTCACTTTTTCCAGTCAAGCCTTCACTTTCCAAAAATATTTAACAAAAAAGAAAGATTTTTTTTTCTGTCCCAACAGCGAGTTCCAGCAACAGCAGCAGCTATAGACAGTAGTGGATTGTCTTCTTGCGTACGAATCAGCTTTTTGAGGTGATGTCCTCACAGAGTTATTGGATAACACTTGGGTGATGTCCTCACAGAGTTATTGGATAACACCCACAAATGAGGACCCTGTGTCTGATTTATAAAGGAAATACCTACTGTAGTGAACAAAATTTATAATTTTCTTCTCTGAAGCAAAGCATCTTGTGTAATTACCTCTCCGCCTTACCCATCTTCTTCTGTTATCCCCACATTCCTGCAATGCCCATTTCTGAAACACACCAATCCCTAGAAACCCCTTCAATTTATCTTTCCTGACATTTCCTCCCTAAAAACTGTGACTGGAAGACCTAGATTACCAAATGTGTTCAAGGTCATCATCAGTAAGACAGTAATGTCTTTAAGTAATATTTAAAAGCCTTTTCTAATCAGGGCTTAAGCACAAGCAAAGACTGGTTCATATGCATTTCCCACAACTCTAACTCAAGCACAGGAGAGCTGTAACCATTAGAAGGTGTCTAGGGATATACATATTATTATGTTACAGCTGTGCTTTTCAAACTCTTTTTGATTCCTCCTAAAGGTTTGCTAATGGAAGAGCAACTCCTTACACAGCACACTGAAGGGTTGTGGCAACTTGCTTTTCATTCACTTGTCACAGACCTCCTGCTAGTGGGCTGTGAACCGCAGGTTGAAAACTGCTGTGTTTAAATGTGTTAAAATGGATAGTATTGATTCTACTATATTTTACTATTTTGCTATTTCATTTTGCTGAAATGAAACAAAACCACTGATAATAGGAAACATAGCTAAACTCATCTGCAAGGACGGGCAGTGAGGACATAAAGGAAATGAAAGATCCATTTTACTGTGAACCACAGAGATCCCTGAATTATTGCTGACCTCAATGGTAAATCCTCCAGCTATATTATTGTGTAAACTCACCACTATCAGTTTTCAACCTACATGGCCTCAGGGAAGCCACTGTGGATGCCCCTGTGCCTATAGTTCTGTTCATGCATAACTTAGTGGTGCTGCTTAAAGATCATTGCGAGCTGGCTCCCCGAACACTTCCTCCTGCCTCAGTTGCGCTCGTCCCCAGTGATGATAGCAGAGATTGTGAGATGTGTTGCTGTTTCCAGAAGCGCATCAGAGATTCTCCAGTGGGCACTGAAGCAAAAGGGCGCAGCCCACAGGGCAGATACCCAATGCTCCCTTGCTTTCGGCACACATCGTGTCATCTCCCTTGCACACAGTCCTAAGCTGGTTAGTGCAGACCACTGAAACAGAGGGGGCCTATTCCTTCCACCTTCCCAGATTTCTGTTAACTGGAATGGGTCTGGAATCTTTTGAAACTCTCCTGGTACATGTATTGTTGTTGTTGTCTTAATAGTAATGACATTGCTATTGTCTGCATGCTGTGTGCAGGCGGTACAATACAACTGCGACCTGAAAAGGCGCTTGCTGAGGGAGGGAAGCTGTATGCTAAGCATACATTTGGTAACAAAAAGCTGTAGTATGATGTACCTGCTAATTTAAGGCACTAATGAAGGCTTTGGTAACGTCGTGCTGTGTGTTCTTGGGATACTTTGTACATCTATTGTAGGAACATAGTTTGTAGTTAGTGTCTCTGAAAAAAAAAAGATACAAAACTAAACTTTTCCTTCACTTTAAAACCATTTATTAAGAAGCTTTCACCTATAAAGATCAATAGTGCTGATTCCAGAGCGCTATTTTTATGCACTGCTTATTGCAAAAGGCTGTATCTCTTATCAGACAGTGTTCCCCGCTGCAGAAGAAGCGTTCAGAAGTTGACAGTGCAAATGGGTCTGTAGTCAGAAGACATCTTCATCACTTTAGGAAATACAGCAGAAAGGATGTGTAACATGCATAAAAGGAACTGTAATAGAAAGATATATTGGATAGATTCTCTCTCAGACGGGTCATGCTACTGGGCAGGCTGATTCATTGCTGACAGATCTAGCAGGTCCAAGCTATGGAGGATGTCTTCAGTGCAATGGAAATCACCTTTTCATAAGGCTGAGGAAAAAAGCTCTAAGAGTGGAGTTATTGCAATGTTATGTTCTTGTTTTGCTGTGGGAAGATGGCTGGTACATTGGAACTGATACATTTAAAGATACACTGATAAAACCCACATGTACGCACTGTAAGTAAGATTCCTACTTTGCCGCCCACAAGATTAGCTCAGCTGTGATATTAGCCTAACTTCTGTGATATGCTAACTCCGTTTTACAAGTCCTTATCCGATGTGTTGGCACGTAGACCTTGGTACTGCTGGGTAACACTGAAACAGCAGAGCCCTGCATCATGGTTTGGGAACTGTGGCAAGTAATAGCAGTCATCTTTCTGAAAAGTCCTCCTCTTGGAAGTCAGACAGAGATTTGGATCAAAGTCAAGCGCACTGCCTCCAAGTACAAATATTCATAAAGACTTCAACATAGGAAATTAGGATATCTTTTTTTTTATAAGCATATCTCTAATACAAGGCCATTTCCAAAAAGGAAGCTTGTGCTGGGGAGGGATTTTTTCTTTCCCAAACACTAGCCAAGGACTTTTTTCTAAACTCATGAAACCCACTAATTATTCCTACACTGTGCTCTTGTCTTTGGTTAAATAGCATTTAGCCATGGGTAACACCCATGAAGGGAGACTTGTCCAGTTCTCTCTGATGTGTCACTTGAGTGTTGTTAATGTCTGTTTTGAGATTATCAGTAAAAACATCTACTTTTAACGATTTTACAGGAATTCCCTTTGTTTCTCTGTCATACAGTGACATTTTCGCACTTTCTATAATCAGAACAAAAAATGAAAGTTAATATCGGAGAAAATAAACATGTTTTTAAGAAAATATACACATCTTGGCTAAAATAAAAAAAAAAAAATGATTGTCCCAAATCTAAGATAATCCATACAAGTATCTGTGGATTTATTATAGGTTTCACAAACCTATAATGATGTTTCTTTTTTCCTCAGTTATGTACATGCATGCAAGTGAGAACATGAGAGGTTTCCCATTGATTTATTCTGGTTACATGAGGTTATCATATTCGGAAAAGATCTGTGTGGAAAACAGGCTCACTGTTAGGTGCATGAACAGTGAGTAGGGAAGCAGAGGTAAAAGATTACTTTATTTGCAAGCCAAATCAAGCTCATACCTCCTGTCTGAAATGTGGTGAGGTGCTGGGGGTTCATAGTTGATCAAGGCAATGGAGGGATTTCCAAGCTAACTAGATCCCAGTGAAAAATATTTTTCTCCAGCTAAAAGTTAGACATGGAAAATCAGCATCAGTGGGGAAAAGCCACATTGGATTGACCCAGTATGATTTTTCCCTTTAGTTTTTAGTAACAAAGAACAAGTTTCAGGAGGACTGTGTCATTTATTTAAGGGAGAATAAAAATGTCATGTTTCATGTTCATTTTATAGCTGCATAAAATAGTCTTCCCTGTGCCAAGCAGAGGTTCCAGCTGGGAAACTGCACATTCGCAGAGGCAAGCTGGGACTTCAAAGTTCTTTTTGCAACCTTCAGCAAGGCCCTTACCTGTCAACTGCAGCGTAAAATTGAAAACTGAACTCTGTGCATCTGTCTATTGAATATTCAGGTATAACAGGAATTTCGGAGGAAGAGGTCATTGGACAAAATCATAAGGAAGTTTGTAAATGGCTTTGTTCACTCTATGACACCCTTTGGGTTTCTTGTTGCTCCTTTTAGGAATTCCTAGATAACAGCATTGCAAATTCAGAAGAGGGCTTTCTGGTCCTTGACAGTCACATCACAGGAAGATGCGTGCCAGAGTGAGAAGTATAAAGAGCATTTTTAGAAGAGATAAATGAATTTTAAGAGAATTCATTAATATTTGCCTTTGCATTGAATGCTTCCCACTAGCTTCTCTAAGCCTTCCCAACACAGAAAATCTATGCAGGACTCAAGTTTTATTTTTACCTGCAGCTTACCTATAAGCTTGCCAACATCTATAAAACTGGGAGCGTTAATTATTTAATGCTCGGGCATTTTGAAGACAGAAAACTACTGTCTACAGTCACGGTAAGGTTTAAAATAGCTAAGAAATGTCCCTACCCTAACGGGAGTTTTAATTTATAATTTTATTAGGACTTTAAACTGTCTCAGGATGTTTTTGCTGCAAAGCTTTTATGTCCTGAACATGACCTGAACTGTAATAATTTAATTAAGTCTGAGAACATAGAGATAGTTAATTTGATTCATTTGTATTAGAATATAATTTTCCACATAAAATAATAATACAGGGGTTTGGGGGTTGGGTTTTTTTTTTCCCCTAATGAGCCATTTTGGTTTAATTATCTCTTATTTCATAAGCTGTGATTTACTTTTAGACATATTTATCAGTACTCCTAATTCCATTTTGATGAAGTATGCTGTAAAATGACCTTTGTTTTAAGGCTGCGGTCTCTACAGAAAACTGTTTCTGGTAAAGGTGTATGGTTGGTGTGGATATACTTACGCCCAGAAGTGCTCCGCAACACAATGACTTTTCTTCCTTTCCAGGTAGCTATAGATTTCACCGCATCAAATGGTGACCCTAGGAATAGCTGCTCACTGCACTACATCCACCCCTATCAACCCAACGAGTACTTGAAAGCATTGGTAGCTGTTGGGGAGATTTGCCAAGACTATGACAGGTAAATAACCACATTTGATAATGTTCTCGCAGTGTGAAATCGATGACTGCGCTCTTCCAGCTGCAGTAGCTCCGTGTTTAGTCGCTTAATAGAAATGACTACCCATCAGAAATATTAGCCTACCTGAACAGGCTTTGGAGAGTTACAGTGAGTTTGAAAGGCCTGATTCTTGGCTCTTTGGCTCACATGTGTATGGAGTTTCAGGTTTGTATTCATGTGCTAAAATTGCATGTGAGAGTGGATTTTTCATGTGTGTTAGACTTGAATCCTGCTTTGCTGACACTGATAGCATACTTTCTGATAAGCTTGGGAGTCTGGTTCTATCCCATCCTACAGCAAAGTGTTCCTGAGATGTTGTGTTTGAGACTGAATTTGTCATTGCTTAAACTGCTTAGGGACCGTGTCTGTTCTTAGAAGTAAATGTGTGGTCTTTTTCAGTGTTCTCCTGGAATATTACTGTCTCTTCTGAAATAAACATTAAAAGATAGTGATAATGCATGCATACAACTTACCTTTCAATAAACAAACAAATGCAAGTAATTGGGCCAAATATGTTTTGATTACATTATGTACTTCTGTTGCTTTCAAATAGGCTGCCTGCTTCTATCAGATTAATTGCCCATTATTAATCTAATCACCGAGTGCATTTCCTTTAAATGTTCTTTCTTTGTTGGTGAGGCATAGTATCTTACACAATTATTCTTTCTAATCTTTGCACATGTGATAGACATCCAACCATCACTTTGCCATATATATATACCAGATCTTAAAAAAAACCCAATGGTATTTCCAGTCAAATTTGAATTAGACCGTCTGTATAAATTGTGAAGTGACTTCATATGTGGTGTGTGCGTTACATGTCGCATATACCAATTAGTCTGCTCAGAGGCAGTTCCATTTGCATGGTAATGAGATGCCTTCCCAAAAACAAAAAGAGAAAATACTGCCTTGATACAATTTCTGTAAGAATTTGATGGTCAAACTTAGTGAGTCTGAGAAAATTAATATTTTATTGTGAGCGAGCTGTTAATTCCTCAATGATTATCCAGTAATTTAATAATTACTAGCAATATTTCAGAGAATTAATATACTTCAAAATAGGGAAAGGAATAAAAAGGGATGGTTTATGCACACAGATTTTTTTATTTTATTGCTTAAGGTGTGTTTTTTAAGAAAATGAAATAGCTAGTGGCATAGTCCCTCCTGTATGGATATATTCATCCCAAATCAGGATTCTTCTCTCAATATAGCACACCCCAATCAGTACAAAAAATAACGGCCAGTCATTTTTTAAATGAAATCATCAGCATCATTCAGTTCTATTGTGCTGCAGAAAATGCCTGTTGATGCTAATCAGCACAGCTAAGGTTGCATGAGCTATGGATTAGGCCTGAACAAAGGCCAGAATTTCTTTACCCAGGGAAATGTCACCTTTCTGGCATGTGTTTGACCTGCACATGCTCCCAAGTTATGACACAATAAATATATTCTCATGGGCAAGTCGATTGAACGTGGTCAGTGCTTTCTGATCAAAATGTCAAGTGAGGACCTTTTCTTTATACTTGCACAATTTGAATCCAGCAAACTGGAAATAAAAACTTATAGTCTCTACAAAGAGGAAAAGTAATTAGGAGGAGCAAACCTTCACGCAGAATGATCTCCAGCTTCTACACAGGAGCTCTTTCTTTGTTCAGTTGCAGCCTTGAGAGGTATGAGCATATACAAACTGATAAAGCAAATGTTCTGTATATACAGTTTAAAAGAAAAGAGTTTCAAATTCAGTAAAAATCTGAAATGTGGCACAGATCCTTAACTGCTCCAGTGGTGTTTCAAATACTGGAGCAGGATTTCTATTTCCAGGTTAAGACCAGCCAGAAGTGAAAAGAGAGGGACCCACTGAACTGAAGGGCTGTTTAGAGCCGGTGTCATAATCTGCACAGAGGCATGTCTTTCGTAAGGTTAAAATATGACACCACAAAGACAGCAGTGCTCTTACCTGAAACGTTATAGTTTGTACCCATCAATTATCTCAGCTAGGCAGAACTGGCTGATTTCAATCCTAACCAAGGAAAATGGAGTGCTTTTCTTTGGATCTCAGAATTAATGTGTTTACATCAAATAAAATAGTTGGAAGAAAGTAAAAACTGTTGTTTGCAATGCTTTTTGCATTCCCATAGCACGGATTTTGAATGCTAAGTACTTTTACTACACTTATATACCAAAACACTTACTTTTTTTGTACTTAGGAAAAAACAATACTATAGCTGTTACTTAAAATACTTCTGTAATTAGAAACATTCAAATTGATTTGTAATTTGGGAGGATGTGGATTAGCAAGTAATATATTGAGAGACTCAAATATATACACTCAAAATCCAAAATTTTCTTTTATATACTCTACTTAGTTCTGTCGATCAAGCCAAATCTTCTCATAATCTAGGTTTCTGCACATGGCAGCGTAACATAATGCATCCCTACGTAATTAATGCTCCAAATTAAGTGCTGCCTCACATCCCTTGATATAGTGGAATAATCCCTGCTCATCCAAAAGCCCATTTATCTGTATGGTTCAGAGATTCCTGAAACAGTGAAATGAATAGTGCCGTTCTGCGTGGTTAAGCGTGAAAGAATACGATTCATTCTCTCATCAGCAAGATGCAGAGAATGAGAAATAGACTTTGATTATTATCCTGATTGTGGAAATGCTGCAGTCCTGTAGGAATAGGCCAATCTGATAGTGGTATGGGAAACGGAAGAGCTGTTCCCCTACACAAAAGGCTTAATACTTTATCTATATGGTGGAATTGTTTCAGGCTATATCAACATTTGTCATAAGAGGGAAGACAAAGTTTATATGTGATATAATCAGTGGCTAAGCAACAGCAGCAAGGGAACATAAAGGAGAAACATTGGTTAGTTTTAAACAATTAGGCTCTAAAATTTAGTTAGAATACTGGAAAGGGAAACACATTAACAACTTATCAGTGACAATATTTGGTTAAAATAAGCCTACAGCTGCATGGAGAAGAATTTATTTTAAGATAAATGACTCATGAATGTTTAAAGATGACCTCATGAAGCAGTACATAAGAAATACATATTTCCATTTAAGTGTTTTCACAAACTTGTTTTTATATTAAGAATTGTATCACTGGTATTATTTTACCTTGAAATTGAGCAAGTCTACTCCACCTCTTTGTAGCATAGAGAAACAGATGAAAATGATGAAAAATCATTGGACACCGAAGTGTTTAATAAAACAACCTGCTTCTGTGTCGTTCCATATTTATTCTTTACCTCAGTATGGAGTTCTCTGGATCAGAAGTCAACTCAAGTGGTTCTTGATGACCAGCAATATTAGCCTAGCCAGGGTCCTGAAAAATCAGGTGATCACTACCAAATGTGTGTATTCCCTCTACATGTTTTGAACAATGAGTTAGCAAGTATACTTAAGGCAGATGAGGTTATACCTAACACTCTGTGCACTATGGCTGGCTTGGGACTTCTAAGCTTCACCAACTCTGCTCAGTGGTTTTGGGCACCCTTTTGTTTTGGAGCCTGGTGGAGACCCCATCAAAAGAATGCTGGTTTTAGGTGGCAGGGTCTTTGCTGGTTGATACCCAGATAGGAGGGAAGACAAAGTCATTCATAAGTTGAAATATCAAACCTGTGAACCAGAATCTTATAAAAGCCATGAAACTCTGTAAGTTATATAGTAGTAATCTGGAATGTGTCTTGTTCTCCATGGCAATTGTTCCCCAAATATTTTTCGTTTGTATCACAAAACTGCCCCCTGCTCAGCTTGGAGCTTTGTAAGCCAGAGAAGCCTATGGCTGAACTGGGGAATCAGGGAATGTTTCCTTTCCCGTGTCCCAGCGTAAGGTCTGGCCACATCCTGACTACAAGTCAGAACCTGACCTACCTCTTCTGCCTTCCCGTTCACACATCCTGGCTTCCAGCAAAAGGAAACAGAGGGATGTGGACAGGGAGGAGCTCTGCAGGATGGATAAGTAAGAGCAGGGAGACTGTGCCTGTGAGCTGCACAGCGCAACACAGCTGCCTTGTATAGGTGAGAACCAGCACCCAAATAGCACTGGGATGTGCCCTCAGCACATATACATGCAAACTGACAAGTCTGTTTTCAATATTATAATCTGGAAACATCTGTGAAAACTACTGTCTATAGATAAAACAAGTACTTTTCCCTAGACAGGTGCAGGTGTGCCGTGAATCTCACATGTAAGCACCTAGAACCGTATGCCCAGACACACACCTATATATATGTATACATGATGAGGGTTTTACTCATGAGGGTGTAAATGTATAGGTATGCATTTAATATGTAGGTATTATATATATTTATATATGTAGATGTATGTTTAACACTTAACCATGCAGTAGAAGAATTGATTTCCCTTTTATGCTGTTTTATAGCTTCCTACTCTGCAGAGCAAAGCCATAAGTCACAATAACAACAATGCACACAGTTTATTAAAATGGTTGGTCCTTTGCTCTTAATGATTTGTTTTACCAGCTGGAATACAACCAACTAGCCATGAGTATAGCTCATCTTTCATTCTGAAATGATTGCTGTCTCTGGCAAAGGAAAAAGGGCTGGAACAGGATTGTAAATAGCTTGTTTGTAAGGATAAATGCTGTTACATGCACACAATGCTAAAGGTTAAAATACTTCCCAAAAGATCTTGTACTATTACAGGTTTTAATGATGATATTGCGAGTGAAGCCCATGGCAGGACTTGCAAATCTGCTCCTCCGTTTGAAATCTGATTTCTGCAGTTAGTAGCTTTCCTTTCTCTTCTACTTATTAAGAATCTCATTATATTACATTAAATATTTATCTTTGAATTTAAATCTCTGTTCTGATTCAGCAAGATACTAGAACTTATTATCTAATCCCATTGAATTCAGTCTGGCTCACGCAAACACTGAAGTGTTATGCAAAAACATAGATGGGACTAAGATGGAGTTTTACTGAGTTT